TGATAGACTTATATTAAAAATATTAAATGTAATGAAAAACCATGCTGAAAATATTCCTGTCGGAAGAACAAATTCAGTAAAAAATATCGATTTAATAAAAGTAGTCATCACAATATGAAACATAAAGATGTTCGGCAGGCACTTGTCTGTGAAATTTTGAAGCTTGAGGTTCAAAGAAACCGAAGTAATAAAAGTTTATTCTAGAAATCATTAATGAGAAACTAGAGCTTAACGTATAAAACGTAAATATCAGTGCAAAAGCATAATAAAAAAAATTATGCCTGCAAATACTAACACCTTGCTAAATATAATCATTTAAACAGTAGTATTTATTGGGAATAAACATAATGAAATAGCGCCCTAGCAAACATTTGTCCAAAGGTAGAATTGATCGTTTAAACAATGAGTTCTTTGCGAAGACAAACACAAAGAATATATGCAGAGTAATCATTCATAGTTTAGAACAACAGAGAATTTAAACGACAATTATTCGTTGAGAGTAGACGCAACGAAATTTCATCCTAGAGAATGTGTGACAATAAGTAGAACTGATCGTTTAAACAATGAGTTATTTCTAGACAATAAACACAATGAAAACTTGCCGTGTAACTTTACATGAATAGCAATAAATGATCATTTAAACAGTAAATATTTTTTCAAAAAAAAACTTCATACAATATTATACGAAAAAGTACATACGAATAGTCAAAACTGAACGTTTAAACAGCCATAATATCCGAAGTCAAACAAGTTCATATATTCACATAGAAAACGTCTAGAAATGCTGACTTTTTCCCGTTTGGATGGAGAATATTAATTGACTAAGAAATATGAAGAGTTTACTGTTACCATTGCCGTTCAGTAGACATTAACTGTTCGTTTAAATGCATGACTCTTATGAACGAAATGTGAGATTGTTTTTCTGAATAAGAAAATGATCATTTTATCTGCTTTCTCAGCGTTTAAACGACCACAGGGACGTTGGAGTATTACGCGCAAAACTTTGTGAAAGATAAACCGAAGAAAAGTTCGGTTTTTGCCTGATTTAACGGATAAACCATGGAGTTATGGTTTAAACGCTGAGAAAGTTTCAATCCGATTTGTTTAAACGATTAAAAATATTGGATGTAGTAAAAGTATACGTTTTTATGCTACAAATACGTAGAAACCCTCCGTTTACACCTACAGTTTCCAAAAAACGCGTGAAAACGCTATAATTTGTCGATTTTCGGCGTATTAACGCGTTTCTGACGATTCTTGCCTGCCAGGGATTGGCGTACTTCTAAAATTTATTCTTTGTTGAGGCTATTTTTTTCTCATTCTTTAACAGTCATCCCATGTGTTCGATTGCGGTCAAACTGCGATGCAGTTGCGGCGCAATTGCGTCGCAATCGCTAAAAGAAATGCTATAGATGAGATTTTCATTTTATTATATCTTTATTGAGAATTAGAAAAAATTGAAAGATTAAAACAAAGACAAATTAAAAAAATTACAATATTAATAAAAAATTAAAATTAAAAAAAATTAACAAAAATAAAAAAATCAAAATTAAAAAAATAAGAAAAATTAAAAATTAAAATCTAGAAAAATTAAGAAAAATTAAAATATTAAAATCTAGAAAAATTAAAAAATTAATATCGAGAAAAATTAAGAAAAATAAAATAAAATTAGAAAAATTATTTGTGAATTATATATTCTACCTTTCGTGGTAGAATGAGTTATGAGCCGAAATGCCATGGACACTGCCTTTTATACTGTCTTTCTCTGGCTAAGTTTTACTGCTAGAGTGTAGCCAATTACAAATAAGAAGGAGTGACTTATGATTGGTCGGCGCTAGTTACAGCGGATTGTACGATGCGATTACTGCGACGCAGTTACGCTGGTCTGCGTCGCAGTAAGCGTAGTTTCTGATAGAGATTTTTGCTGCGATCAATGCGCCGCAGTTACGCGCAGTTGCGATAAAAATTTCGCAGTTGCGCGCAGCTGCGACAAAAATTTCGCAGTTACGCGCAACTGCGACGCATTGATCGCAGTGAGCATAACTGCGACGCAGTTGGTAAAAAAGAGGCGACATGGGATCTTTGGTAGATAAAAAGTAATTTATTGCTACAAAGGTTAATAGAGCAGCTAAGTTTTTTATTTGATTACTGTAATCTTTATGACTTACGCATATTTATCATCTAGTTGTTCTTTTAAGATTTGTACTGAAAACGGAATATATACTCAGCATTATATTATTTTTATGGTATAAGAGTTAAAAAATTAAAGTTTCTTCGCGTAAGAGTTTCAATCGACGACGAACTCAGTAAAATAATAAGCTCTAAAATGAAATCATTAATGAAACTAAGCTATTTAACATTTTTTTCAACTGATTTATTAAGATCAATCAGTGCGACATTTCGCTCTAACTAAGAACATTATCAAACACAAATAAATAGACAGAAGAAGAATAGATATAAGAGTAAAATAACACCTTCGTTTTTCTATTCTATTGCTTTAAACATTCTAATGTAGATGGATCAATTTTACTCCCCCTGTGCATTGAAATTCTTAAAACAATAGAATAAAAAACTAAGACATTATTTTACTCTTATAATATATTCTTCTTCTATCGATTTATTTGTGTTTGATAATGTTCTTAGTTAGAACAAAACGTCACACTGATTGATCTTAATAAATCAGTTGAAAGAATGTTAAATAGCTTAGTTTCACTAATGATTTTATTATGGAATGTGGTGCTACCAAATGGCAAATAAGTTCTATATTATATATTTTTTCTACGAATCTCGTATTTTGTCAACTATCTCGAGGAATGTAGAAGAAAGTTTTCCACAAATACTATCCTAAGAAAAAGCAAAAATAAACGCAGAACGTAAGGTGAAACTAAATCCTCCACATCGTTCAATTCTGAAGACTTCTTCTATTGGAGATATCTGAATCTTTTTGCTCATGTTTTCTAAGCTCGACCAACGGTCAATGAGAATCCTTGTTCACAATATCGTATACAGTAAATATGTGAATTTCTTCGTAATCTGAATAGTATTTTAGATTAAATTCAGATATTATTCATGTATTTTATCTTTGTGTGCATTCACATCGCTCGCAGAAGTGATGTTTACTTATTGAGCAATCTTCATCGAATCAATGAATGAATATGCTGGACGAATTTATTTTCTCTTTTGTTCTTCTCTAACTTTATACTTTTTTCCTCCCTCTTGTCTGACTTTTGTCTTTTACTTCTTGACTTAATTTCTTTTTTCTTCCCTTTGCTTTCCTATCTCTCCAATTTGATTAAGACTAACAATCAATTACTAAGTATATGAGATCCGTTCTGTTTATGCCACATACATTTGTCGAATATATATTAACTGAAAATATTACTCTCTTTTGACTTGGCTAGAGTTTCTAATTGGATTATGTAGCTCATAATTAATAATGTTGTATTGCTTGTCATAAAACGAGTTTCAACTAGCTCATATACTGATGTGTCGATAATTTGTGATGAAAACTCTAATGCATCAATTTTATATTTGAGAATATTAGGAACTTATAATTTATCGTACGTTTCGAGCTTTGAACATAATCAAAAAGTTAGGATTTCAATGTGAAAATTGAGACTTTAAATCAATAAAATCAACCTGTATTTTTTCGATATTCTAATGTTCGCACCAACACATGATTTTGATTCATATGATGTCAATGTTATGCGGATTCTTACTTTAATCAAAGGAACTCTTTTTCACATAATTAAATCTACAGCGAATACGTTTTTGGATTAATTTAGCAGATCACAAGATAAATGGAAGCTCCAAACAGACTAAATGTCTTTCATGCGTACTGTGAAACAATAAAAAACACAAATTCACGAGAATATAAATAATTACGGGAACCCGTCCCAAAAAAAGATTAATCTACCTTGAGCATTTACAGCTGTTTTCGTTGGAAAAGATGATCATAAACATTTCTCACTATCTTTTACGAAGAAGAAAATGACTTATATAACTGTTTCAGAGATTATTTAATGTGAATAACGGTTGGAAACGCTGACTAGACGTAAAAACGGCAAGAAAAGTGATGATCACGTTTTTTCTTGCCGTTTATCACCGTTTTCTAACAGAACGGGTGATTATGACAGTTTAAACGGCATTTTCAGCGTTTCATTTCTTTCTGGGTAGTGGTCTCAAAATGACAAGTACTGAATGGGTCTGGCATGCTTTGTCAAATCAGATTTGAACTTAAGTAGAAAAGTTTCGATAAAGAAAAGTTCCAAAGCTGAGATAGGTAAGACTGAGTTGAATCTATCAATTAGTTAGTCTAGACTTCGGAATCAGAGTGTGAGTGTGCGTGGCTCTTTTTTAGTCTATACCTGAATCCGTACTCACAACCACATTCACATTCACACCCGCTTGGAATGCAGCATTCATCAAGGTAAAGATAAATGATTCGCATGTATTATAAAAAAAAGGGTGTGGATCCACTATACAGAGTAAGCAAGAGAATGGCTATTTTATCTATCTTTTGTGGATGTGGGTATACCTCTTTGCTCAATCGACATCGAAACCCACACACAGCATTTATTGTATGAAAAAGAAAAATTCTTATCACTTTTTTTCTTTAAATCGCAACTTTATTATATAGGTTGTTAAAAGTTAAACTGAAAAATCCTCAGTATAATACACAGATCGATATGGCTTTCAAAGAAAGAAAAAGTCAACATAATAAAAAAAAATGTTGATCCAAACTATCTATCATTGACGACACTAGTTTTTTGAAGTATTTTACGTTGTTGTTATTGAAAACATGTTGAGGTTTGTAATAATTTTGTCTTTCAATTTCACGATATTCGTAGAAGAAGATAAGCCATTAAAGTTTCATAATAACACATAAAATTCTATATAAAGACGCAGACTCCCTGTTCTTTTACTATTTATTTCGTTGAATAGCATCACTCGACAAGTTTAAATTCAAGTATATTCTTTTAGTAAGATTTTTTTCTACAATGGCAGGAAATCCGTTTGATATTCAGATTGATGAAGTTCTTCACCGAGATAGTATCGGACGGATTGTTGAAGCCGAGTATCACTATAAAGAAACTTATGCTAATGGTGAAGCAAGCAATTATCGCGTTGCAGTAAAACGAAGCGAATATGAACGATCAGCAGCTACAACACAAAAACCAACATTACCATTTCAACAATTTCTTAAAGTTTTACGACCATTCATGATGGGTAGACATGCAGCTGATGATATACCTGAAGCATTTCGTCTTTTGGATAGGGATTATTCAGGTACAATTGATATTGGTGAATTAGCTGCTTTTATGCCTGTTATTGTACCTAATGCTAATCCATATATGCTTCTTCATCATATTCAAAAAGTTGATAAAAATTGTGATTATAAACTAAACTTACAGGAATTTACTGATCTTATCAAAAGAGGCATTGGACGAGATATTGCACTTGGGCGTATCTAGAATTTATTATTTTTTTAAATTATTTTTTTTTTCTTTTCTTTTTCAAATATATTAAGTTTACTAATAGATCATATTTTATTGAATGTATAATACTGGTAAAAATCAGAGAATGACGGGGCAGCTAAAATTCGTAACATTACCGTCCTAGTCTCGCTTCGTCTGATCAAAGGAATTTGAAAAGCAAAATTTTTAAAGTGTTTTCAAGCATTTATCTTAAACACACTTCATAACGAGTAAGCGTGTGTTTGAAATCTAAGTCGTTTTTAACTATGTTAAAACAATTGTCACTAGAAGTGGCATTTTGTTACTGTTAATTTGTTTTAAATATACATTTTACTAAATTAAATTTGCAACAAATTTTGTTTTTTACGTAAAATAAATGCAGATTTACATTAAATTTAATTTCTTTAAAATCAATATTTTGATTTAATAAATTTTTAGAAATATAAATTCATCTCCCCAGATTGTCATAGTCACTCAAGAAAAGAAAAGTATAAGAGGAAGTCAAGAAAATCATTTTTAATTAAACTATTGTTGACTTTATAAAGTTTTAGTAAATCTTTCAAAAGTAGAATTAGTGTGAAAATCCTGAAACTAAATCAAAACTTGTTGAAATTATCGAACCTGAACTCAACAGAACTTAAAATGCTTCAAATATCGGAGTTTTCGAATTTCGCTAACTGGATATTTGCCAATGTCGAAATTTTTGAGGGTGTGGGTGTCAGACTTGTATACATTCACACAATAAATAAAAAAGTTCAAAAATTGAACTAAACAAAAAACAACTGAAACTGACCAAAGGATTTCAGTAGCAGATTCAAATTGACTCGTATGATGCAATAACATAGTGCAATTGAAATGGTTTTTTT